CCCCTGTCTTGGGGTCAGATCAGAGCTGGTGCCCCCTAGAGGGGAAAAGCCCCATATCATCTCCCATGCCCACCCTGACCTGGCCAGTCCCCCTACCCTGGGGCTGGATCAGAGTCCGCACCCCCTAGGGCAGAAACATCTCATATCCCCTTCCTTGAACACCAACCAACTTGTCTTTCCCTTGAGCAAAGACCCAGTTTTCTTTCCCTCGTACATTAACTTTCATCCCAGAAGATGGTCCCAAGCTGCTTCCACTTACTGCAGAAGGAGTTGGTCCTCCAGGCATATATAGTCACCCCAGCAGCATGACAGGCTGTGGCATAGCTGGTGATAAGCTGGCATGTCACAGCTTGTTGGCCTTTGAAGAAGCAATAATCGTACACACAGTCTTGGAAGTAGCCCTCGGGGTCGACTTTGCTGTGACACTCTCGGAAGGGGCCGCTCTTGTCTAGGAGCATTCCACACTCCCCATTCATTCCTCTTTGGCGTCTCTCAACAGCTGCTAGATCTGAGCACTCGTCCTTGGCAACCTCCACACAGCCAGGGATATCCTTCACCTTCCAACTCTGCCCAAAGGCCGTTGGGTTTGGGGCCAATGTGCCGCCCCTCGTGGTCAACTCATCTCCCTTGTCCCCGTTGAAGTTCCCACAGAGACCGCACACGGCTCCAGCGTAGGTGCTTGGAGCAGTGACAGTGATCCGGCCCTGCCAGTCAAAGGCGACGGTGAGACCGAAGTCAGTCTGGATCACTGCTTCCTGCCCCCTCCGGTATATGGAGATCTTGCTGTTGTTGGTGCTATATGGTAGGTTGATCAGCACGTTGTTCACCTGGGATCAATGCCAAAGGATCAGTGAGAATGGTCTGACACTGAGCAAGCAACTTTGAACCTGCAGAACCCTGCCCCTCTAAAGAACTTTACAGGTAGAGCTGGTTGAAAACAAAACCCAAATGGTGAATTTTGATTTCATTTTCATTCTCTTCATTTTTTATTTTCCTTTTTTCAAAACGTTTTTTAAACTATGTTTCAGTTTCCCATTTGCTGGTTAAGTAGTTTTTGAAAATGAGATTTTATTGATTCCAAAACCAAAAATTTTCAATTTGGGAAAGTTTTTCAGTCATAAAAAAATCCTACCCATTCTTTTGTTTATGGTGACTGATTAAAATTGCAAATACAAACCTCCCAAATGAACCCAATGCACAATGACCGATGACTGGAGACAGAAGAATAAGAGATAGGGGCATAAAGACAAAATGCCAAAGAAGGAAATAAAATTTTAGCAACTAAACACAAAAAGAGAAAATACATACAAAGAGTGACAAATGAACACAAAAAAGGAAGAAAGCTAATGAATCTGAGGAGAAATAACTTGCAATTAGAGCTGGTTGGTCCATCAGATTGATTTTTGCAGTAGAAAATGCGGTTTCTGAAAATTTGAAATTTAGTAGCAGAAAATTTTGATTTTGCTGGAAATTTTCTATTTTCCTGACAGGAAATTGAAAATGAAATATTCACTTTGGGTCAATTCAACCTGAACTATAATATTTCATTTTCTTAGCTGACCCGGAACATTTTGAATCAGTTAAAAAGAAATTAAGCTTCTTTTCCCTATGGCACATTGCCTTATGGGAGTTGTAGTTCTAGTCCCCATTGTCTCCAATGGGCTGGACTCCCTGGAGGACTACAACTCCCTATAATAAATTTCTAATGCTTGGAGCATCATGGGTATCACATGCCTCTGGTTGTATTATGGGAGATATAGTCCCCCAGGAGAAAATGGTGTCAACAACTACAGCTCCTATCAGGCAATAGGGAAATATGTTTTAATCTTGAAATGGGGCCCAACAAGCTGGATCAGAACATTTCTGTTTGAGTTGCTTGAAATGTTTCATTCACTTGAACATATTAAAATGTAATATTTCGACATTTCAACTTTTTGCCCCATTTTGGGATGAAAACACAATTTGAAAAGACCTACACTTCCTGTGAGGGTCACAGTCCACATTTCACTCAGCTCCGCTTGTCATGCAGACATACACGGAGAAGGCCTTATTTGTATAGCAGCAATGCGGAAAGTGAGGTTCGGCTGATTATGTACATGAAATTACATCTGAGCTGGAGGAACCGAGAAAGAGGCACAAGCAGATGTAGCTGCAATTCCAGGCAGCTCCAAATTAGAGGTTGCTGAATAATGGGTTTTTCAGATTGCTGGCAATTGTGTGTGTGTGTTTGTGTGTACATATATATTGGGTGAAACTAAACTTTTCATCTGACCCAAAACAAAATGTTTTGGTTGAATTTTGAGCATTTTTTGTGTTTTGGATAGTTTTGAAAATAAAATTAAAGGAAATTTTCAAATTAAAAGTCATTTCAAACTGATTTTTTTTAAATGTCAAAATGGAACATTTGATTGGGTTTGGGGGGGGGAGATCATTCAAATTGAAACAATCTGGTGAAATCAACACAAATTTGCCAAGTATTTTGGTGTTGCTGAACCTGCATTTTATTTTTATTTTTTACCAAAAAAGGTTTTGTATGAAAACTGTCAGCCAGCTAAAGTCCAGATATCCATCAGAATGTTCAGCGTATTAAGAGAACTGCCTAAGTGTGCTGAAAAGGTGGTTTGAGTAAACATCTCATCCCAGAGTCCTGGAGAAAGGAAAGGAAAAAGAAAAGGTAAAATGAGCGAAGTCAGGAAAGAAGAAAAGAATGTTGACTGACCACAGGAAAGAAAGAAAGTTTCGGTGGCTAAACATGGCAAAGGAAGACAGGTCTGATGACTGACCAGGAAAGGGCAGAAAGGTTTGATAAACTCACCATGACTCTGCCAGGGTTTTCCCTGCTGATCACAATGTCGACCTCATAGACTTTGACCTGCACAACTTTGGTGAAGGACACAACTTGGCTGCCCCGATGGTCGTTCTGAACTAGGACCTGGAAATCCACCAGGTCCTGGCTTTTGATGCACATCCCGGCGAACTGATACAGGCAGGTGCCCTGGAAGTCAAACTTCTTCCCGTCAAAGCTGATGTAGTGAGGATCCCCCGAAGCTGAGCAGGTTCCGTAGCTGATGGGGTAGCAGTTCTGGATGCCATTCTCCACCCGGCACTGCTCCCCAGTCCTGCACCCTGTGGCCTGGCAGCTCACTTGCCTGGTTTGGGGGTCACAGAGGCACCGTCTGGTGCAGGCACCGTCCCCCCAGAATTGCTCTCCGGGAGCATACAGGTGCCCCTGGAACTCACACCCACATCCAGCCTTGGGGATGCATTTTCCAGCATCCAGCACGAAGCCCTCATTGCACTGGCAGGTCTCCACGCAGGGCAAGGAGCAGTTGTTAGGGGCCACTTGGTCATTGCAGGTGGCAGGACACGCGGAGCCACAGAGCTGGTACTGGCTGTTCTCTGGGCAGGGCAGAGCTGTCAAAAGAACAGGACACTGAGGTCACTGGGAATATCGCTCCCTGTAGCATTAAACAGTTTGGCACAGGTCTGAGGAGCCCAGCTGGAAATTCTGCATCATAGCAGCCCCTAATGATACTCCTGAACCTACAGTGAGCTCTGACCCATAGACCTAGAGATGTTACAGCCCCCATCACCTTCAGTCCATGGCTTTGTCCAGTTTACCTTTAAAAGACTGAAGTAATGGGGCTCCCACCCATCCACTGGAGAAGATAATTCTGTAGGCTGATAGACTTCATCATTTCCCCTTTGCTCCGTCTTGTCCCATTACTGTTAGATATACCCACTGGGAGTACCTTGAACATTTCCCCTACCCACTTCCTCACTCTTCAGATCCTCTGAGAGGGTTGTCTCCTCCAGTGCTTATGCCTAGTCTACACGAGAAAGGGTATGCTAGTGTACCTAGACCAGCAAACTCCCCTAGGCGGGATACTGCTTATACCAGCAAAAGAGTTTTTATGCTGCTATAGCTCATACCATTTCCCCAAATGAATTAAACTATAATGGCAAAAGGTCTTTGCTGGGTCCTGTGTCCAGCTGTGGTCACCCATGTTGAAGAAAGATCAAATCAGACTAGGGTAGGTGTAGCGAAGGGCTAGTAGGATGATATGGGGAACACAGGGCTATTTTAAGAGAGTAGACTAAAAGAGCTTCGCTTATTTAACCTAGCGAAGAAGGGGATGTGATTACTCTCCATAAATACATTGAGGGGAACACCAAGGAGGGAAAAGAGATGTTTAAACGAAAGGAAAACATTGGCACAAGAACAAAGGAGGCTAAACTGGCCATGAGTCATGAAACAGATTTGCAATAGGAGCAGTGGGGTAAAGAACTTCACTGATTTGAAGATGGAGACTGATAAAATTCTGAACGGGATTGTATGACGGGATGGCTGCAATTGGATTGACTGGATGCAATGACCCAGGAGGTCCCTTCCAGTCCTGTGTTCCTATGTTTGCCAGTATAATTGTGTCTACACTAGGGTTGTTTGCTGGGGTAAAACTGTCACAAGGAATCACAGCCCTAACTGCCATTCTTATGCTGGCAAATGTTTCTAGCATAGAGCTGGCTTGAGTCATCAGTTAGCCAAGCTATGCACATGGTTTCCTTCTTATTCAGTCCCCCCATCTCTTTAATTATTTGCATTGGCCATTTTTCAAATTCGCCCAACAGCCAAGGTTGAGGCTGGAACCCCTGCTGAAATCAAAGAAGTCATGCCGAGTTCCACCAGAGAAGGAATTGTCTCATTATTGTTAGTTATAGGTGCCTAACAAGTATTAAAAGAAGACAGAGCTATTCAACAGAAGCCAACTGGGGACCACGGAGGTGAGATACAGAGAGATCAATTCTCATTGTGATGTTCCAAAATTACTTAAACATCTATCTGTGCAGTCCTACCACATCCATGATATCTCAGAACCTCCATGATATTTACACTCAGTTCTACAAATCTCTTTAGGCCTCTTGGGGGACCTGTTCCCATGCACATTTCACCTTAACTTCAAACTCTGATACTAAAACCTGCTGCCTTTAGCTCATGAGCCAGCATCTGGCTGGGATGATTTAGTTGGGGTTGGACTGGCTTTGAGCAGTGGGTTGGACTAGATGACCGCCTGAGGTCTCTCCCAACCCTAATCTTCTATGATTCTATGATCTCTTTGTCACCCTGGGTATACTCACAGCACCCCGTGGGCATCCTCCAGTCAGAGATATCCACCCCCTCTCCCCGGCAGGCATCGGCGTAGCTCGTCAGTGCCTGGCACAGCATCTCCTTGAGGCCATTGTTCATGCACAGATCATAGACGCAGTTGTCCAGGTAGATTTTGGGGTCGATCACGGAGTGGCATCGGCTGAAGGGGCCACCCGCCCCTTTGGTGATCCAGCCGCAGAAGGGCTCAGCTTTGTACCTGTCAACCAGCTCTGGGGAGCAGCTCTTGCATTCCCCGTGGCAGTCGTCCCAGCAGAACCTGTCCCCGTCCTCCACCTTCCAGCTCTTCCCGAACTCCACGGGGTTGGCAGCCAGCGCCCCCGTGGGGGTGGCAAAGTCATCCCTGGCATCCCCGTTGTAGTTGCCACACAGGCCACACACATGCTCCCAGAAGCTGCTGGAGATCTTCACCACCAGGGAGCTGCCCCAGTTGTAGGAGACCCTCAGGGAGAAGTCAGTCTCGATGACCACAGAGCCCCCACTCTGATACACCCTCAGCTTCCCCTCGAGCACAGAGATGGGGAGGCGGGAGCGCTGGTCATTCACCTGGAAATTGAACCACAAGAAACTGTCATTGTTTTGGGTGCATTACTCAAAGGAATCTGGCACAGTGAGGGACTGAGGCTGCTATGTGGCACTGCAGTACACATAATAAATAATGATATGTTGAGATTTGCAAGGTTAGCTAGGGGATTTAGCCACACAACTCCCATTAATTGCAATGTAGCTACATACCCAAGTCATCCTTGGAAATCTCAGCCACAGATTTTTCTATACAAAGCCACCATTAGCTTGACATGCTCTGCTGAAGACAGAGGTAGAGAATTACATGAGCAACTTGGTGGGAGGGGGGTTCCAGAGCTGGGATAGTAGAGCTATGTGTATGTGGGGACTGGAGGGGGTAGCCTAGGGCTGGGATAGTTGGGGGGAGATTGTGGGTCTTGATTGATGGTCACCAGCAGATCTATGTGTATGTGGGGAGTTGCAGGGGGACTGTCAGTTTAGATTGAGAGGCACTGGCAGAGCTGGGTGTGAGGTGATACCAGGTCAGGATTAAGGGGCATTGGCAGAGGTAAAGGGAAAGGGGGGAGCCCAGGGCTGGAATAGCAGGGGGCTGTGAGTTAGGATTAAGGGGCATTGGCAGAGGTGAGGGGAAAGGGGGGAAGACCAAGGCTGGAATAGCAGGGGGCTGTGGATTAGGATTAAGGGGCACTGGCAGATCTGGGTGTGAGGTGATCCCAGGTCAGAATTAAAGGGCATTGGCAGAGGTGAGGGGAAAGGGGGGAAGACCAAGGCTGGAATAGCAGAGGGCTGTGGGTTAGGATTAAAGGGCACTGGTAGATGTGATGGGAAAGCGGGGGCTGTGGGTTAGGATTAAGGGGCACTGGCAGAGCTGAGGGGAAGTGGGGGGGGGGGAGACCAGGGCTGGAACAGCA